CCCATTCAAGCCGTCTCCAGCCATTATTAGTCTCAAAGTGGGTTCCTCGTCATCGAATTCGAATCAGAGAGAACTATTGCCAATTTGTGAAAAACAGGATGTGACAGGTTGATATGGAAAAAAAAGGTCAGATTTTCTAGTTTACAGCTCTATAACCAAACAAGATTGAAGGCTATAATAAATATGCTTTGCCTGAGTAATAACTATGTTATAATGAATAATTTTCATTAAATTCTGTATTCTTGGAGGGATGGTAAATAAATTAGAAAAGAGGGAAGACCTAGAGAGCAAATGTCACAATATTCATACAATTTTCTGTAGAAGGTTGTGACAAGCGCACTTTGACCTACCTGATGCAAATGGGTAAATAAAATTTCTAAGTATTGTTAATGAGGGAAAGATGGTCAGTTTAATACTATTTAACTGTGTTGCATGAACTATGGGGATATGAATTAAAATAGATTTCTTGAACATGAATAATGGTGGTCTTAAACGATTAATTATTAATATGCTGCTCGCTCTGTGCTTAAATACTTCCATATCTACATAAACAATTCTCCAACTTACATGTTTTCTCTGGAACCACCTCCACTATCATAATCTTCATGAACTTTAGTAACCCATTCTCGAAATTCTCGTCGCTGGATTTCTTTCATTTTAGAAATCCGCTTGTTCCAATCTTCCGTTACTCGCTACCAACAAATATACAAGATTACTGCATTCAAAGTATAAATTTATCACATTCAACAAGATCCATGATGAAAAATTAAACCTGTCTTTAACTCTCTCAACACGGGCTCAGTCAAATTGACCAATCATGTGACCTCTTTGTACTTATTTAAAGTCTTTATAGTTTTTAATGTTTCTAACGTTTAATATAGTATGTATATATTCAAAAAATAGGGCAGATTTTCAGTCAACATTATAATTTTTAGTGAAGTATTTTTAATAAACTAAAAAAAGATTTGTCTATGAATAGTTTTTTCACTAGTCTGCATGCAAAGTGATTTTCATGTTAAAATTAAAAATACTTTTCTTCATCTCAAAAATCTCAAATTTCATTTGCATAATCTCTAAATCCTCCTAAAAACATTTCAATTGTTAATTTTTAGTAAAACTTTAATATTTCATTTGTTATTTTCTTTACCCTAACTCTATACAAGGTCGGTCAATTTGACCCACCTTGTAACCACCATAGAAAATCAAAATAAATCTAAATTACACTTTTTTTTCCTTTCTGGAATGACTTAACTAACATGAAACTATATTCATTTATCCTAAGTAGCTTTAAACTCGTAACAGTATACATCTATTTATACTTAAATTTTATTGCTTTATTGCCCTTTGAACCATGTCTAACTACTACTGTTCATGTCTTTATAAGTTGTTAATCACTTGGAGAATGTGGAACTCATATTATGCTATTGAATTACATTGCCCTTGAGCTACTCCAAGCTGCTCACGTGCATGCCTCGTGAAACATTTTTATTCATATTATTATTATTTACTTTACTTAATCTAACCTTAACTAGCCTAAATAGATCCATATTTTTAAATTTTAGTTACTTTTATAATAATAAATAAAGAGTAAACATGAAAAACAAGAAATAATGTACTTACTTTTTTTATTTTGCTGGTGATTGTTGATGACAATTAACACTACTTTTTTTTTTATACTTATGGTAGTAATGTACCAAATATTTTTTATTTAATTAAATAATGCACCAAAGAACATAGAAAAATAACATGCAAAAAGTAGACAATTTTCCCTAACTATCACAACTTTTCTGGCTATTTGACTATGCAACAAGAGCCATTACAATTCATCCAAGCTAGTTGTTATCTTTCCCATGGGAACAAAGCTTGTACTAACAGAGAAAATGGAAATTCTCTGTTTAGAAAACAATGTAATATAATATGTCATTTGATAGATGAAATCTTTGGCTTTCTATTGGTTATACATAATATAGTATTAAGAGTATGAGAGAACTATTAACAAATCCTGAAAGAGAGGATGCAACTGGTGGGTGTGGCAAGAGGGGTCTGATTTTCTATATGATGGCTCTATAACCAAACAAGATTGAAGGCTATAAAAATTATGGTTTGTCTGCAATGACAATTTTATAGTGAGTAATTTATGCTATATTTCATACTTATAAGAGGGGTGGTGAATAAGATGAAGAAGAGGGGATGCCTAGAGAAAATATGTCAAATTTATCACACTAGGAAAATTCAGGATTTTTTAAAATATTGGCTTATAAAATTAAGAACTTAAAACTTGTATACTATTAAAATATGGATTATGAGCTACAATTTTATGCTATAATAATTGGTATAACATAAACAAAAATTAGATTAATTATATTTTGAATGTAAGTCACTAAACCTCATGTCATGTACAGTCAATGATGCTGAAGTAGAGAGGGTTAATATCATATGAAACTTGTCTTTCAGTATACCTGCATAACACTATCCATTTAGCACATAAAAAGAAACCTGTCTATAAATATAACCATATACACACATAGAACAATTACTAAACACAAAGAAACCTGTCTATAAGTATAGCCATAAACACACTGAACAATTACCAAACACAAAGAAACCTGTCTATAAATATAGCTGTAAACACACTGAACAATTACTAAACACAAAGAAACCTGTCTATAAATATAGCTGTAAATGCACTGAACAATTACCAAACACAAAGAAACCTGTCTATAAATATAGCCGTAAACACACTGAACAATTACCAAACACAAAGAAACCTGTCTATAAATATAGCCATAAACACACTGAACAATTACTAAACACAAAGGAATTTGCCTATAAATACAGCTGTAAACACACTGAACAATTACCAAACACAAAGAAACCTGTCTATAAATATAGCTGTAAACGCACTGAACAATTACCAAACACAAAGAAACCTGTTTATAAATACAGCTATAAATGGACTGAACAACTACCAAACACAAAGAAACCTGTTTATAAATACAGCTGTAAACGCACTGAACAACTACCAAACACAAAGAAACTTGTCTATAAATATAGCTGTAAACGCACTGAACAATTACCAAACACAAAGAAACCTGTCTATAAATACAGCTGTAAACGCACTGAACAATTACCAAACACAAAGAAACCTGTCTATAAATACAGCTGTAAACACACTGAACAATTACCAAACACAAAGAAACCTATCTATTAATAAAGCTGTAAACACATTGAACAATTACCAAACACAAAGAAACCTGTTTATAAATACAACCATAACCACTTTTTACCTCAGCTTACTCAAAGTGTAACAAGCGTACTTTAGTCTTTCCTCAAAGTGTCACTGCCTTACCTCAGTTTCCTCAAAGTGTCGAGCTGCCATGCTGTTTATATCTTGATCACTGTAGACAAGCCCTACTTTCTCTACGGCCATCTCCATTTCTTTAGACTGTCTTCCAATTATAAACAACAAATTCCTTAAGTGAAACTTCATTTTGAAACCAACATCACATTTTAATGGTTATCAGGTAATGTAAGTCCATATGACTGACCTGAAGTACTGATAGACTCAGCCAGTCATTTCATTGTTATCGTTTTAGCCATTAAAATAAACATGAATATTTTTAAAGATTCAGATAGTAGAGAAGTGTGGCTTATCCAGTACTCAAGTACGGAGTATTTCACCAGTAAACTTTTCAAACACTTTCAGTGGACTTTTAAAACCAAAAAAACTGGTATTTCACCAGTACTCTTTTCAAACACATTCAATAAACTTTTAAAATCAAAAACCTGGTATTTCACCAGTACACTTTTCAAACACTTTCAGTAGACTTTTAAAACCAAAAAATTGGTATTTCACCAGTACACTTTTCAAACACATTCAATAAACTTTTAAAACCAAAATACTGTACTTTCAGGACACAATATTTTCCACCATAAAATGTTCATGCACTTCTCAAGTATATTATTAAGCCATTCCATTTAAACAATCTAGTAAATGCTGACACACATATTAGCACATTTCACACTTTTATTAAACATGATTATACCTTTATTAGCACATTTCACACTCTTACTAGAGATGATTATACCTATATTAGCACATTTCACACTTTTACTAAAAATTATTATACCTTTATTAGCACATTTCACACTTTTACTAAAGATGATTATACCTTTATTAGCACATTTCACACTTTTACTAAAGATGATTATACCTTTATTAGCACATTTCACACTCTTACTACAGATGATTATACCTATATTAGCACATTTCACACTTAATAGATATGATTATACCCATATTAGCACATTTCACACTTAATAGATATGATTATACCCATATTAGCACATTTCACACTCTTACTAGAGATGATTATACCCATATTAGCACATTTCACAATCTTATTAAAGATGATTATACCTTTATTAGCACATTTCATGCTCTTACTAAAGATGACTATACCCATATTAGCACATTTTACGCTCTTACTAAAGATGATTATACCCATATTAGCACATTTCACACTCTTACTAAAGATGATTATACCCATATTAGCACATTTCACACTCTTACTAAAGATGATTATACCTTTATTAGCACATTTCACGCTCTTACTAAAGATGATTATACCCATATTAGCACATTTCACACTCTTACTAAAGATGATTATACCCATATTAGCACATTTCACACTCTTACTAAAGATGATTATACCTTTTCAACAGCAACTCAAGGGTTTCCTCCTTTTCCCTCACCATTTCTTCTACTGCCATAGCGTACGTGTGATCTAGGTGTAGCATTGTATCTAAAGCAGGAGAATGGATGAGACTGTGATACATCTCAGGAAATGACGTTTCACTCAACTCTTCTTCAGGTTTTGCATACATTGTGTGCTCCTGTCCATAGTAAGTTTATAATTAAGATTTTTTTACATGGTTTCATCTTTTACAAAATGTGAATGTTTATAAAGACTGTAATAAAATGTTCTATTAACAGTACCATACCTTCAATATCATTAACACTATTTTAACTTTATATCCTTGCCATATCTAACTCAATATCATCATTTGTCCATTAAGATTATAGAAAGCACAATATTATCTATTCATTGATATGTTTAAAAACTAATCCTACCTCTAACTAAGTTTTACTACTCCTCAATGACAGATAAGAATCACTGTAAACATACACACAATCACAGCTAAAACAACCGTTGTAACGAAAATATGATAGAACAATCTGTAAATTAGCATACTTAGTAAAACACCTTTTACATTCTATCAAAAATGTCAATATTCTTGAAAAACTTGGAATAACACTTTTAATGTTGGTAGTGGTAGTGCTCTGACAACCAGGAGAAAGTGTAATTAAAGAAACAAAACAGTTCAATCCAGATAAACTAACCTTGAAGTTTCTACAGCAGGGCCAGGATGGATTAACATTTTTTTCCTGATGTTATACACATTCAGAGCAGTGTCAGAATTTCCCAAGTACATAAAATTATAGCATTACTTAATAATTTCATTACAGAGTTGCAATGAGAAAGACAAAAATATATTTACTCACCATGTATTACATTCCACATAACAAATACTAGGACCACATCAAACCATGAAATCAAATTTAAATGTTGATCGCTATATGAGTAATTTCCTTTGCAAGTTGGGCAAATATTTCACGACTAGTTAATAAGTAGTAATAAGAAATACAGCAGGTGAAAATACAGATTACACTTTCAACAAAATAAACCAATGTTACACAGCAGGTGAAAATACACATTACACTTTCAACAAAATAAACTAATGTTACACAGCAGGTGAAAATACACATTACACTTTCAACAAAATAAACTAATGTTACACAGCAGGTGAAAATACACATTACACTTTCAACAAAATAAACTAATGTTACACAGCAGGTGAAAATACACATTACACTTTCAACAAAATAAACTGATGTTCACTGCATGGTGTGTTATACTATGAGGTATTACATACACTTATCAAACATGGTGTGTGTTACACTAAGAGGTGTTACATACACCCATCAAGCATGGTGTGTGTTACACTAAGAGGTGTTACATACACCTACCAAGAACAGTGTGTTACACTATGAGGTGTTACATACACCCATCAAGAACAGTGTGTTACACTATGAGGCTGTAACATACACCAATAAAGTACAGTGTGTGTTACACTATGAGGTGTTACATGCACCAATAAAGCAGTGTGTGTTACACTATGAGGTGTTACATACACCAATAAAGCATGGTGTGTGTTACATTATGAGGTGTTACATAAACCCATGAAGCATGGTGTGTGTTACACTATGAGGTGTTACATACACCCATCAAGAACAGTGTGTTACACTATGAGGTGTTACATACACCCATCAAGAACAGTGTGTTACACTATGAGGTGCTACATACACCCATCAAGCATGGTGTGTTACACTATGAGGTGCTACATACACCCATCAAGCATGGTGTTTGCTACACTACAGGGTGTTATATACACCTATCAAAAATAGGTTAAATACACCCATCAAGAACAGTGTGTTACACTACAAGGCGTTACATACACCTACCAAGAACAGTGTGTTACACTATGAAGTGTTACATACACTCATCAAGAACAGCATGTTACACTATGAGGTGCTACATACACCCATCAAGCATGGTGTTTGCTACACTACAGGGTGTTACATACACCCATCAAGAACAGGGTGTTACACTATGAGATGTTATATACACCCATCAAGAACAGTGTGTTATACTATGAGGTGTTACATACACCCATCAAGAACAGTGTGTGTTATACTATGAGGTGTTACATACATCCATCAAGAACAGGGTGTTACACTATGAGATGTTACATACACCCATCAAGAACAGTGTATTACACTACAAGGTGTTACATACACCCATCAAGAACAGTGTGTTATACTATGAGGTGTTACATACATCCATCAAGAACAGTGTGTTATACTATGAGGTGTTACATACATCCATCAAGAACAGTGTGTTATACTATGAGGTGTTACATACATCCATCAAGAACAGT